TCCCCAAAGGGGAAAAAGAAGCAATTTCCTAGATTACATTAAAGTGCAATTTAGTTGTATCAAAAAGTTAAATAAGGTTCCTTTTAAAGTGCAACCTTTTTTTAAACCAATAGCATGACTAATAGGCTGTCGCTTAAAATCCCTTTCGCATAGATTTCAGAGGTGCAGTAGACTTTCCTGGTATGTGTACTTTGCTTCTTGCAGCCCCTCCCCCTGCCACCATATTTTTCCTTAATGACCCCAGTTTTTTCTTTCTTCCTCAATTGATAGTATATGAAAAATACTGATTGCATACAGTTTTGTTCAGGGAAAAAAACCTTGCTTCAGAGACAGATAAATTAATCCAATTGTTAAAAGGTGCAAAAAGGCTGGCATGATTTAAGTATCACTGGTGTCATCAGGACTGTGATGTAATCAATTCTTCTCAGGGCTTTTTTTCTCATAGAATGCCCAGAACGGAGTTCCGGCACCTTTTTTGGGATGGAACCTTGTAGGGTAGGCAAGGCGGGTTGTATGATGTGTGTGAGTTTCAGCACCTTTTTTTTTTATATAGAAAAAAAGCACTGATTCTATTATGGACAGGTAGTTTGTTCTCTGCATAATATTGGTACTGTGCAATGTTCTGTATTTCTTTAAGTTTCAAAAATATGGACTTAATATGAGGTTGTTTATTCCAGTTTAGTTGTCATCTTTGAATGATGCCTGCAGAAGAGCTAGAAAAGTACAGGATCAGACCCAGATTGATAGATATGGTGGTCTGTTCACAACTGGCCCCAGAATTTCTGCCATATGACTTATGGTTGTTATGGTTGTTATGAAGGTCACCATGTGACCAGACTCAATTTTTGTTTTTACAATTGTCATGGAGTGAATCACCATGACGGTTAAGGAATCACCATGGTTATTAAGGTTATTAAGGAAATCCATTCTTCCAAATAGGTATTGTTTGCCAGAAACTGGCACAAAATGCTAGAAACTGGCAAAAAATGCTAGAAACTTGGAAAAACATAGCAAATTGCAGCCATGTGATTGTGGGACACTGCAACCAATCATAAATACGAGCTGGTTGCCAAGTGCCCATAATGTGATCATGTGACTGTGGGGATATGTGCGTAGTAATCATAACTTTGAGGATGGGTTGCAAGTAGCTTTTTTGAGGGGGGGGACGCATCATAATTTCAAGGAGAGAGAGAGAGAGAGAGAGAGAGAGAGAGAGAGAGAGAGAGAGAGAGAGAGAATATGAATCAATAGATCTAATGTTTGATGTAGTGGTCAAGGCACTAGGCTAGAAACCAGGAGACCATGAGTTCTAGTCCCATTTTAGACACAAATCAGCTGGGTGCCTTGGGCCAGTCAGTTTCTCTCAGTCCCAGGAAGGTGGCAATGGCAAACCATTCTGAAAACACTTTGCCAAGAACATTGCAGGGACTTGTCCAGGCAGTCACCAGCAGGGCTGTGGAGTCAGAGTCGGAGTCGGAGTCGAGGAGTCGGAGTCGGAGGAAATTTTGGGTACCTGGAGTCGGAGTCGGAGTCGGCAAACAATGCACCGACTCCGACTCCTACTAAATTTAGATTGGAATTAAAAAAAAAAGCAAGTTTAAATGTCCCAATTCACAAAAAGTTATAATTAATGACTTCTCTACTGTAAGAATAAAGACCAATG